CTACCATCTGAGCTAACCCCCCTGCCTAAATGCTTGTATCTCATCAATCGTCAGGCTGGAAGGCCAAATAGAGCGGGCCGGCATCATCCGCATTGCAGTGGTATGAGAAGCCATGAGACTCAATCATCTGTCCCTAAAATAGGTCACCGAGATTGGGTTTGGAGGATCCAGGCACCAATCTGCTAAATGCCAAGACCTGGGACTTACTTACTTACTCAATCATCTGTCCCACAGATGTATTGTAGATAGAAAATGAGCAGCGGACCAAAACGCACCTCTTCAGAATGCCGGGCCATTTGAACCATACAGTGTGGAATCAGTTACAGCTACAGCTGCTGGCCCACATCTGCAAGCGCGCGCTACCAGCTGTATCGCCAGGTATAAGGACAAATAAAGCTTGGTGTAATCAGCACAGCAGTGGTTTGAGAAGCAGACAGGGTGTAAGATAAATGGCTAAGTTCTATAATGCATGAATGTGTGCAACTGTTACTAAAATAGGTCACCGAGATTGTTTTTGAGTGGTTTTTGGAGGATCCAGGCATGGATCTCGCTAAATGCCAAGACCTGGGACTTACTTACCACAAAATAAAGGTTGAAGTGAACATCAGCTGCAGCTGATGATCTCATCGATCGTCAGGCTGGAAGGCCAAATAGAGCCGGGCATCATCCGCATTGCAGTGGTATGAGAAGCCATGAGACTCAATCATCTGTCCCACAGATGTATTGTAGATAGAAAAGAGCAGCTGACAAAAACTGACCTCTTCAGAATGCCGTGTGGCCATTTGAACCATACAGTGTGGAAAATGTTTGAAGTGTACATCAACTGCAGCTGCTGGCCCACATCTGCAAGCAAGCGCTCTACCATGGATTGTCAGGGTGTAAGGACAAATAAAGCTTGGTGTAATCTTTATAGCAGTGGTATGAGAAGCAGACAAGGTGTAAGATGATTGGCTTAGTTCTATAATGCATGAATGTGTGCAACTGTTACTAAAATAGGTCACCGAGATTGTTTTTGAGTAGTTTTTGGAGGATCCAGGCATCGATCTCGCTAAATGCCAAAACCTGGGACTTACTTAACCCAAAATAAAGGTTGAAGTGAACATTAGCTGCAGCTGCTGGCACAGAACCGCAAGCCAGCGCTCAACCATGGATCATCAGTCTGGAAGGACAAATATAGCTTGGTGTAATCTTTATAGCAGTGGTATGAGAAGCAGACAAGGTGTAAGATGATTGGCTTAGTTCTATAATGCATGAATGTGTGCAACTGTTACTAAAATAGGTCACCGAGATTGGGTTTGGAGGATCCAGTCATCGATCTCAAATGCCAAGACCTGGGACTTACTTACCACAAAAATAAAGGTTGAAGTGAACATCAGCTGCAGCTGCTGGCCCACATCTGCAAGCAAGCGCTCAACCATGGACTATGAGGCTGGAAGGACAAATAAAGCTTCGGTGTAATCTGTATAGCAGTGGTATGAGAAGCAGACAAGGTGTAAGATGATAGGCATAGTTCTATAATGCATGTACGTGCAACTGTTACTAAAATACATCACAGATACTGTTTTTTGAAAGATGCGGGCATCGATCCCACTACCTCTCGCATGCTAAGCGAGCACTCTACCATCTGAGCTAACCCCCCTGCCAAAATGTTTGTATCTCATCGATCGTCAGGCTGGAAGGCCAAATAGAGCCGGGCATCATCCGCATTGCAGTGGTATGAGACAGCCATGACACTCAATCATCTGTCCCACAGATATATTGTAGATAGAAAAGAGCAGCTGATCCAGGCATCGATCTCGTAAATGCCAAGACCTGGGACTTACTTACCACAAAAATAAAGGTTGAAGTGAACATCAGCTGCAGCTGCTGGCCCACATCTGCAAGCAAGCGGCTCTACCATGGATTGTCAGGGTGTAAGGACAAATAAAGCTTGGTGTAATCAGCACAGCAGTGGTTTGAGAAGCAGACAAGGTGTGAGATGATTGGCTTAGTTCTATAATGCATGAATGGGTGCAACTGTTACTAAAATAGGTCACCGAGATTGGGTTTGAGGATCCAGGCATCGATCCGCCTAAATGCCAAGACCTGGGACTACTTACCACAAAATAAAGGTTGAAGTGAACATCAGCTGCAGCTGCTGGCCCACATCTGCAACAAGCGCTCAACCATGGATCATGAGGCTGGAAGGACAAATAAAGCTTGGTGTAATCTGTATAGCAGTGGTATGAGAAGCAGACAAGATGATAAGGCATAGTTCTATAATGCATGTATGTGTGCAACTGTTACTAAAATACGCCACAGATACTGTTTTTGGAGGATGCGGGCATCGATCCCACTACCTCTGCGCGATGCAATAGCTACCACCATCTGAGCTAATCCCCTGCTAGAAAGCTTGTATCTCATCGATCGTCAGGCTGGAAGGCGACAATAGAGCCGGGCATCATCCGCATTGCAGTGGTATGAGAAGCTATGAACTCAATCATCTGTCCCACAGATATATTGTAGATAGAAAAGAGCAGCTGATGCAGGCATCGATCCCGCTAAATGCCAAGACCTGGGACTTACCACAAAATAAAGGTTGAAGTGAACATCAGCTGCAGCTGGGCCCACATCTGCAAGCAAGCGCTCTACCATGGATCATGAGGCTGGAAGGACAAATAAAGCTTGGTGTAATCTGTATAGCAGTGGTATGAGAAGCCATGAGACTCAATCATCTGTCCCACAGATGTATTGTAGAAAGGAAAAGACAGCTGACAAAAACTGACCTCTTCAGAATGCCGTGTGCCATTTGAACCATACAGGGTGGAAAATGTTTGAAGTGATCGCTGCAGCTGCCGCCCACATCTGCAAAGCAAGCGCTCTACCATGGATCGTCAGGATGTAAGGACAAATAAAACTTGGTGTAACCCGCACAGCAGTCGTTTGAGGAGCAGACAGGGTGTAAGATGATTGGCCTAGTTCTATAATGCTGAATGAATGTGCAACTGTTACTAAAAATAGGCGCCGTCAACGAGAATTGGGTTTGAAGGATCCAGTCATCGATCTCGCTAAATGCCAAGACCTGGGACTTACTTACCACAAAATAAAGGTTTGAAGTGAACATCAGCTGCAGCTGCTGGCCAACATCTGCGCAAGCGCTCAAGCATGGATCATCAGTCTGGACGACAAATAAAGCTTGGGTAAATCTTTATAGCAGTGGTATGAGAAGCATACAAGTGTAAGATGGTTGCGTATTGTCTACAATGCATGAATGTGTGCAACTGTTTTTAAAATAAGTCACAGAGACTGTTTTTTGAGGATGCAGGCATCGATCCCACTACCTCGCGCATGCGAGCGACACCCCTACCATCTGAGCTAATCCCCTGTCTAAGGTTGTATCTCATCGATCGTCAGGCTGGAAGGCCAAATAGAGCCGGGCATCATCCGCATTGCAGTGGTATGAGAAGCCATGAGACTCAATCATCTGTCCCACAGATGTATTGTAGATAGAAAAGAGCAGCTGACAAAAACTGACCTCTTCAGAATGCCCTGTGGCCATTTGTACCATACAGTGTGGAAAATGTTTGAAGTGAACATCAACTGCAGCTGCTGGGCCACATCTGCAAGCAAGCGCTCTACCATGGATTGTCAGGGTGTAAGGACAAATAAAACTTGGAATAATCAGCACAGCAGTGGTTTGAGAAGCAGACAGGGTGTAAGATAATTGGCTTAGTTCTATAATGCATGAATGTGTGCAACTGTTACTAAAATAGGTCACCGAGATTGTTTTTGAGTGGTTTTTGGAGGATCCAGGCATCGATCTCGCTAAATGCCAAGACCTGGGACTTACTTACCACAAAATAAAGGTTGAAGTGAACATTAGCTGCAGCTGCTGGCACAGAACCACAAGCCAGCGCTCAACCATGGATCATCAGCCTGGAAGGACAAATAAAGCTTGGTGTAATCTGTATAGCAGTGGTATGAGAAGCAGACAAGGTGTAAGATGATAGGCATAGTTCTATAATGCATGTATGTGTTCAACTGTTACTAAAATACATCACACTCTACCATCTGAGCTAATCCCCCTGCTAGAAAGCTTGTATCTCATCGATCGTCAGGCTGGAAGGCCAAATAGAGCCGGGCATCATCCGCATTGCAGTGGTATGAGAAGCCATGAGACTCAATCATCTGTCCCACAGATATATTGTAGATAGAAAAGAGCAGCTGATCCAGGCATCGATCTCGCTAAATGCCAAGACCTGGGACTTACTTACCACAAAATAAAGGTTGAAGTGAACATCAGCTGCAGCTGCTGGCCCACATCTGCAAGCAAGCGCTCTACCATGGATCATGAGGCTGGAAGGACAAATAAAGCTTGGTGTAATCTGTATAGCAGTGGTATGAGAAGCAGACAAGGTCTAAGATGATTGGCTTAGTTCTATAATGCATGAATGTGTGCAACTGTTACTAAAATAGGTCACCGAGATTGGGTTTGGAGGATCCAGTCATCGATCTCGCTAAATGCCAAGACCTGGGACTTACCCATTATAGTTCTATAATGCACTACCTCTCGCATGCGAAGCAAGCACTCTACCATCTGAGCTAATCCCCCTGTCTGTAAGGTTGTATCTCATCGATCGTCAGGCTGGAAGGCCAAATAGAGCCGGGCATCATCCGCATTGCAGTGGTATGAGAAGCCATGAGACTCAATCATCTGTCCGACAGATGTATTGTGGTATAGAAAAGAGCAGCTGACAAAAACTGACCTTCTTCAGAATGCCGTGGTGCCATTTGAACCATACAGTGTTGAAAATGTTTGAAGTGTACATCAACTGCAGCTGTGGGTCTACATCTGAAGCAAGCGCTCTACCATGGATTGTCAGGGTGTAAGGACAAATAAAACTTGGTGTAATCAGCACAGCAGTCGTTTGAGGAGCAGACAGGGTGTAAGATGATTGGCTTAGTTCTATAATGCATGAATGTGTGCAACTGTTACTAAAATACTTCACAGAGACTGGTTTTGGAGGATGCAGGCATCGATCCCCCTACTTCTCGCATGCAAAGCTAGCACTCTACAATCTGAGCTAATCCCCCTGATAAAAAGCATGTATCTCATCGATCGTCAGGCTGGAAGGCCAAATAGAGCCGGGCATCATCCGCATTGCAGTGGTATGAGAAGCCATGAGACTCAATCATCTGTCCCACAGATGTATTGTAGATAGAAAAGAGCAGCTGACAAAAACTGACCTCTTCAGAATGCCGTGTGGCCATTTGAACCATACAGTGTGGAATCAGCTACAGCTACAGCTGCTGGCCCACATCTGCAAGCAAGCGCTCTACCATGTATCGTCAGGGTGTAAGGACAAATAAAGCTTGGTGTAATCTGTATAGCAGTGGTATGAGAAGCAGACAAGGTGTAAGATGATTGGCTTAGTTCTATAATGCCTGAATGTGTGCAACTGTTACTAAAATAGGTCACCGAGATTGGGTTTGGAAGATCCAGGCATCGATCTCGCTAAATGCCAAGACCTGGGACTTACTTACTTACTCAATCATCTGTCCCACAGATGTATTGTAGATAGAAATGAGCAGCGGACCAAAACTGACCTCTTCAGAATGCCGTGTGGCCATTTGAACCATAGAGTGTGGAAAATGTTTGAAGTGAACAGCAGCTGCAGCTGCTGGCCCACATCTGCAAGCAAGCGCTCTACCATGGATCGTCAGGGTGTAAGGACAAATAAAGCTTGGTGTAATCAGCACAGCAGTGGTTTGAGAAGCAGACAGGGTGTAAGATGATTGGCTTAGTTCTATAATGCATGAATGTGTGCAACTGTTACTAAAATAGGTCACCGAGATTGGGTTTGGAAGGTCCAGGCATCGATCTCGCTAAATGCCAAGACCTGGGACTTACTTACTTACTCAATCATCTGTCCCACAGATGTATTGTAGATAGAAATGAGCAGCGGACCAAAACTGACCTCTTCAGAATGCCGTGTGGCCATTTGAACCATAGAGTGTGGAAAATGTTTGAAGTGAACATCAGCTGCAGCTGCTGGCCCACATCTGCAAGCAAGCGCTCAACCATGGATCATGAGGCTGGAAGGACAAATAAAGCTTGGTGTAATCTGTATAGCAGTGGTATGAGAACCAGACAAGGTGTAAGATAAATGGCTTAGTTCTATAATGCATGAATGTGTGCAACTGTTACTAAAATACGTCACAGAGACTGTTTTTGGAGGATGCGGGCATCGATCCCACTACTTCTCGCATGCAAAGCGAGCACTCTACCATCTGAGCTAATCGCCCTGACAAAAAGCATGTATCTCAACGATCGTCAGGCTGGAAGGCCAAATAGAGCCGGGCATCATCCGCATTGCAGTGGTATGAGAAGCCATGAGACTCAATCATCTGTCCCACAGATGTATTGTAGATAGAAAAGAGCAGCTGACAAAAACTGACCTCTTCAGAATGCCGTGTGGCCATTTGAACCATACAGTGTGGAAAATGTTTGAAGTGAACATCAACTGCAGCTGCTGGCCCACATCTGCAAGCAAGCGCTCTACCATGGATTGTCAGGGTGTAAGGACAAATAAAGCTTGGAATAATCAGCACAGCAGTGGTTTGAGAAGCAGACAGGGTGTAAGATAATTGGCTTAGTTCTATAATGCATGAATGTGTGCAACTGTTACTAAAATAGGTCACCGAGATTGTTTTTGAGTGGTTTTTGGAGGATCCAGGCATCGATCTCGCTAAATGCCAAGACCTGGGACTTACTTACCACAAAATAAAGGTTGAAGTGAACATTAGCTGCAGCTGCTGGCACAGAACCACAAGCCAGCGCTCAACCATGGATCATCAGCCTGGAAGGACAAATAAAGCTTGGTGTAATCTGTATAGCAGTGGTATGAGAAGCAGACAAGGTGTAAGATGATAGGCATAGTTCTATAATGCATGTATGTGTTCAACTGTTACTAAAATAGGTCACCGAGATTGGGTTTGGAAGATCCAGGCATCGATCGCTAAATGGTCTTAACAATTTCCCATTGAATTTTATTTCCTAGTGGAAAATTTGGTGAACATCAGCTGGCCCACATCTGCAAGCAAGCACTCAACCATGGATCATGAGGCTGGAAGGACAAATAAAGCTTGGTGTAATCTTTATAGCAGTGGTATGAGAAGCAGACAAGGTCTAAGATGATTGGCTTAGATCTATAATGCATGAATGTGTGCAACTGTTACTAAAATAGGTCACCGAGATTGTTTTTGAGTGGTTTTTGGAGGATCCAGGCATCGATCTCGCTAAATGCCAAGACCTGGGACTTACTTAACCCAAAATAAAGGTTGAAGTGAACATTTGCTGCAGCTGCTGGCACAGAACCGCAAGCCAGCGCTCAACCATGGATCATCAGTCTGGAAGGACAAATATAGCTTGGTGTAATCTTTATAGCAGTGGTATGAGAAGCAGACAAGGTGTAAGATGATTGGCTTAGTTCTATAATGCATGAATGTGTGCAACTGTTACTAAAATACGTCACAGAGACTGTTTTTGGAGGATGCGGGCATCGATCCCACTACTTCTCGCACGCAAAGCGAGCACTCTACCATCTGAGCTAATCCCCTTGACAAAAAGCATGTATCTCATCGATCGTCAGGCTGGAAGGCCAAATAGAGCCGGGCATCATCCGCATTGCAGTGGTATGAGAAGCCATGAGACTCAATCATCTGTCCCACAGATGTATTGTAGATAGAAAAGAGCAGCTGACAAAAACTGACCTCTTCAGAATGCCGTGTGGCCATTTGAACCATACAGTGTGGAAAATGTTTGAAGTGAACATCAGCTGCAGCTGCTGGTCCACATCTGCAAGCAAGCGCTCTACCATGGATCGTCAGGGTGTAAGGACAAATAAAGCTTGGTGTAATCAGCACAGCAGTGGTTTGAGGAGCAGACAGGGTGTAAGATGATTGGCTTAGTTCTATAATGCATGAATGTGTGCAACTGTTACTAAAATAGGTCACCGAGATTGGGTTTGGAGGATCCAGGCATCGATCTCGCTAAATGCCAAGACCTGGGACTTACTTACCACAAAATAAAGGTTGAAGTGAACATCAGCTGCAGCTGCTGGCCCACATCTGCAAGCAAGCGCTCTACCATGGAACATGAGGCTGGAAGGACAAATAAAGCTTGGTGTAATCTGTATAGCAGTGGTATGAGAAGCAGACAAGGTCTAAGATGATTGGCTTAGTTCTATAATGCATGAATGTGTGCAACTGTTACTAAAATACGTCACAGAGAATGTTTTTGGAGGATGCAGGCATTGATCCCACTACCTCTCGCATGCTAAGCAAGCACTCTACCATCTGAGCTAATCCCCCTGTTTGAAAGGTTGTATCTCATCGATCGTCAGGCTGGAAGACCAAATAGAGCCAGGCATCATCCGCATTGCAGTGGTATGAGAAGCCATGATACTCAATCATCTGTCCGACAGATGTGTTGTAGATAGAAAAGAGCAGCTGACAAAAACTGACCTCTTCAGAATGCCGTGTGGCCATTTGAACCATACAGTGTGGAAAATGTTTGAAGTGAACATCAGCTGCAGCTGCTGGCCCACATCTGCAAGCAAGCGCTCTACCATGGATCGTCAGGGTGTAAGGACAAATAAAGCTTGGTGTAATCAGCACAGCAGTGGTTTGAGAAGTAGACTGGGTGCAAGATGATTGGCTTAGTTCTATAATGCATGAATGTGTGCAACTGTTACTAAAATAGGTCACCGAGATTGGGTTTGGAGGATCCAGGCATCGATCTCGCTAAATGCCAAGACCTGGGACTTACTTACCACAAAATAAAGGTTGAAGTGAACATCAGCTGGCCCACATCTGCCAGCAAGCACTCAACCATGGATCATGAGGCTGGAAGGACAAATAAAGCTTGGTGTAATCTTTATAGCAGTGGTATGAGAAGCAGACAAGGTCTAAGATGATTGGCTTAGATCTATAATGCATGAATGTGTGCAACTGTTACTAAAATAGGTCACCGAGATTGTATTTGAGTGGTTTTTGGAGGATCCAGGCATCGATCTCGCTAAATGCCAAGACCTGGGACTTACTTAACCCAAAATAAAGGTTGAAGTGAACATTAGCTGCAGCTGCTGGCACAGAACCGCAAGCCAGTGCTCAACCATGGATCATCAGTCTGGAAGGACAAATATAGCTTGGTGTAATCTTTATAGCAGTGGTATGAGAAGCAGACAAGGTGTAAGATGATTGGCTTAGTTCTATAATGCATGAATGTGTGCAAAATACATCACAGAGCCTGTTTTTGGAGGATGCGGGCATCGATCCCACTACCTCTCACATGCTAAGCGAGCACTCTACCATCTGAGCTGCCAAACAGCTTGTATCTCATCGATCGTCAGGCTGGAAGGCCAAATTGAGCCGGGCATCATCTGCATTGCAGTGGTATGAGAAGCCATGAGACTCAATCATCAGTCCCACAGATGTATTGTAGATAGAAAAGAGCAGCAGACCAAAACTGACCTCTTCAGAATGCCATGTGGCCATTTGAACCATACATGGTGGAAAATGTTTGAAGTGAACATCAGCTGCAGCTGCTGGCCCACATCTGCAAGTAAGCGCTCTACCATGGATAGTCAGGGTGTAAGGATTTATAAAGCTCGGTGTAATCAGCATATCAGTGGTTTGAGAAGCAGAAAGGGTGTAAGATGATTGGCTTAGTTCTTTAATGCATGAATGTGTGCAACTGTTACTAAAATAGGTCTAAGAGTCTGTTTTTGGAGAATGCAGGCATCCATCCCACTACCTCTCGCATGCTAAGCGAGCACTCTAACATCTGGGCTAATCCCCTGCCAAATAATTTATATCTCATCGATCGTCAGGCTGGAAGGCCAAATTGAGCCAGGCATCATCCGCATTGCAGTGGTATGAGAAGCCATGAGACTCAATCATCTGTCCGACAGATGTATTATAGATAGAAAAGAGCAGCTGACCAAAACTGACCTCTTCAGAATGCCGTGTGGCCATTTGAACCATACAGTGTGGAAAATGTTTGAACTGAACATCAGCTGCAACTGCTGGCCCACATCTGCAAGCAAGCGCTCTACCATGGATCGTCAGGGTGTAAGGACAAAAAAAGCTCCGTGTAATCAGCACAGCAGTGGTTTTGTTTCTGTTTTTGTTTTATAATCACTCTTTTATAAAAAGAGGTTGCTCTTGAAGCCAGACTGCTTGGTGTCTAGGAGGTTGTTCTGTGTGAGAAAATTGTAGAGTTGATTAAAAACGGCTCTTTCAAGAGTTTTGGAAAGAAAGGAGAGGAGGGAAACAGGTCTGTAATTGTCAACTATAGCAGGGATGAGTGATGGTTTTTTAAGCAGTGGGGTTACCCGGGCTTGCTTAAATGAGGTAGGGTATGTGCCAGTAGAGAGCGATGTGTTAAAGATGTGTGTGAGTGCAGGTAATAGTGTGGGAGAGATGTATTGAATAAGTTGAGAAGGGATAGGGTCAAGGGGACAAGTTGTGGGACGGCTAGAGAGGAGGAGTTTAGAGACCTCAGTCTCTGAGAGGGGAGAGAAGGAAGTCAGTTGGGAGTTACGTGGAGGAGGAGTCGTTCTATGCATGTCTGGGGTTGAGAACTGGTTCCTGATTGATGTAACCTTGCTGGAAAAGAAAGTTGCAAAGTCATCTGCAGTGAGAGAGGTAGGGGAAGGGGGAGGAGGGGGACAGAGAAGAGAGGAAAAAGTTTTGAAAAGAATGCGGGTGTTGGGAGAACTACCAATATTATCTTGGAAGTATGTGGCTTTAGCAATGGAGATGCTTTTGGAATAAGAGGAGAGAAGTGTCTGGTAATTGGTTAGGTCAATTGGATTGTTTGATCTGCGCCATTTCCTTTCAGATGCTCTTAGTTTGGCCCGGTTGCTACGCAGAGCTTCTGAGAGCCAAGGACTAGAGGGTGATGTGCGAGCAGGTCTAGAGGTTAGGGGGCATATGCTGTCAAGAGAAGATGTTAAGGTGGAACATAGCATGTTGGTTGCGGTGTTTAAGTCAAGTGAGGAAAGGTGGTTGTTAGAGGGAAGTAAGGTTGTGACAATGGAGGAGAAATGCGAGGGGGAAAGGGAGCGAAGATTGCGACGAAAAGAGATGGAAGGAGGAGACAGTGAAGGGGGTGGGGGGAGAGAAATAGAGAACTGGATAAAGAAATGGTCAGAGGTGTGGAGAGGACTAATGAGAAGATCGTATGTGGTGCAATTACGTGCGAGGATGAGGTCAAGCTGTTTGCCGGCTTTGTGGGTTGCTGGTGTGGTGAACTGCTTGAGGTCAAATGTGGGAAGGAGAGCAAGAAAGTCAGCTGCATGTGGCTTGTCTAGATGAATGTTGAAATCACCAAGGACCAGAAGAGGAGTTCCATCATCTGGGATGGTGGACAGTAGCATGTCAAATTCATCGATGAACTTCCCCAGTTGACCTGGAGGACGGTAAACAACAAGAAAGTGCTTTTTTGCAGGGTCAGTGACTGTAACAGCATGAAATTCAAAGGAAGTGTATGAGTAAGAGGGAGAAAGACAGTTTAATTTCCATGTTTTGGAGAGAAGCAAACCTGTACCACCCCCTCGTCTGTTGGGGCGTGAGGTATGAAAGAAGTTGAAGTTGGAGGCCAGGGCAGCTGGTTTGGCAGTGTTCTCAGCATTTTCAGTCAGAGCCAGCACACTGAGGTTAGAGTGAAATAAGTCAAAACAAGCAAAATAAGTCACAGAGATTGTTTTTGAATGGTTTTTGGAGGATGCGGGCATCGATCCCGCTAATTCTCGCATGCTAAGCAAGCACTCTAACAACTGAGCTAATCCCCTGCCCAAGAGGTAGTATCTCATCGATCATCAGGCTGGAAGGCCAAATAGAGCCGGGCATCATCCGCATTGCAGTGGTATGAGAAGCCATGAGACTCAATCATCTGTCCGACAGATGTATTTTAGATAGAAAAGAGCAGCTGACCAAAATTGACCTCTGTGGAATGCCGTGTGGCCATTTGAACCATACAGGGTGCAAAATCCATTTCTCTTAAATGTTTGCTTCAGCTGACCTTATATTTGATAAAGAGCAAATAGTGACTTGTTTAGGACAAAGAACTTTAAGTTAAGGCCTTGTAAGATTACTTGGACCCATCTCTCTCGACTTAAATGCCAAAAAATGAGACTTACTTACCCCAAAATGATGTTTGAAGTGAACATCAGCTGCAGCTGCTGGCCCACATCTGCAAGCAAGCGCTCTACCATGGATCGTCAGGGTGTAAGGACAAATAAAGCTTGGTGTAATCAGCACAGCAGTGGTTTTGTTTCTGTTTTTGTTTTATAATCAGACCCTGGATCCATATAGCACTCTCACTGATACTGGGTAAAAATGAAGATCTTAATTATTCCCTGTGTCTCGGACGATGTAAACATCACCATCAGTGGACTTTACTCCTCCCAGTGTAAGAACTCAGTTAGAGAGTGATGTTCTCGTTCTGTATTCATCTGTAAAGTGTAGTGAGCTTCTATACACACTGTAGATCTCTTCACCTTGTTGATCTGCTGTATCTCCACTCTGATAGATCACCTCCACTCTATCTGATACGTGCAAATCCCGCTTCAGATCTGCACCAGGGTTTATCTGAACTGATGATGTCAACGTCTCAATACCGAGACGCACGTCAGTAAGGTCTTTGCCACCACACTCACACGTGTATAAATCCCTCTTACAGGGATGATACCTCCTTTAATGACCTGCAGGATGTCTGATCACACAAAGCGACTACATCATCTGGATTAGTGTACAGAGTCCATGTGGCCAAACCAGAACATTTATATTTACAGGGCAGATCAGCAGACTGATTTAATTTCACCTGTACAGTAGTGTAAGCTGATACAGATATTGTGATGAACATGAGGATGAATAAAAGCAGGACGTGATGAGGAACCCTGCAGGACTCCATGTCTGAGACACAACACCACCAGCAGCACGCCAGTGAACCAAGTGAATGTGTATACACTGGTGAAGAGTATACACAACCAGATACAGGAACAACCAAAATCCATCCATTTCTTTTAAATGTTTGCTTCAGCTGGCCTTACATTTGATAAAGAGCAAATAGTGACTTGTTTAGGACACCGAACTTTAGGTTAGGGGCTTGTAAGGTTACTTGGACCCATCTCTCTCGACTTAAATGCCAAGACGTGAGACTTACTTACCCCAAAATGATGGTTGAAGTGAACATTAGCTGCAGCTGCTGGGACTCAGCACTTTAAGTTAAGGGCTTGTAAGACTTAAATGCTAAGACGTGAGACCTTCTTACAAACTAGTGCTCCTTCTCTCTGTCTCTCTCTTTCTACCAAATATGGTGCCAGATAGTTATTTTACATGTGTATCCTTAAAAACAAGACCAAAACAAACAATATGAATAATATTATGAATATGAATAATTTTATGTTATTAATAATTTTATATTATGAATAATAATAATCTAGTTATGAATTAAGTTGTATTATAGAATTATTAAAGCATTGTTAAATGCTTTTATTATATTAAAACATATTTAAAAATACTGGAGGATGCGGGCATCGATCCCGCTACCTCTCGCATGCTAAGCGAGCGCTCTACCATTTGAGCTAATCCCCCACAGTGCACCACATCACTCATGAACCACCCTAAATACATCAGGCGTATTCAGCACGCAGGCGGAAGTGCGCATCTCTGAGTTCCGGGACGGATTGTCAATAGAGATAAATGTGTGCCGAGTGCAGCTAGTAGCCGAAATGTCCACCGGAGTTGGGAGTAAGTAATGATCCTTCATTTTCTCACGCTGGAATACTACATGTTATCGATGCTAAAACCGAAAGCGCGTTAGTGTTGCATTTCTGAGCAGCGATCAGACATTTTGAAACACACGCCTAGCGTATGTCCAGTCTTGTTAGCGAGCTAGCGTGAGGCTAGCTAACAAAAAGCTTGCTAGTCCGACTGGGAGCTAACCCCCGAGTGAAACGAAGCCTGTTATTACATTTTAGAATATAACGTGTCATCAATAATAACGATCATAGAATTAATATAGCCCTTTGTTGCTTTTGGTTTAGCCGACAAATCCATAAAAGCAAAGCCTGACTTGTATTAGGAGCTAAGCTAATTATCCCTGCCATTGAATCAGCTCAGGGTCAGAGTTCACCGCTGGACGTGTTTTGTAGTGTACCAGCTCAGGGTCAGGGTTCACTGCTGGAAGTGTAGTGTACCAGCTCAGGGTCAGAGTTCACTGCTGGACATGTAGTGTAGTGTACGAGCTCAGGGTCAGAGTTCACAGATGAACGTGTAGTGTAGTGTACCAGCTCAGGGTCAGAGTTCACAGATGAACGTGTAGTGTAGTGTAGTGTACCAGCTCAGGGTCAGAGTTCACCGCTGGACGTGTAGTGTAGTGTACCAGCTCAGGGTCAGAGTTCACTGCTGGAAGTGTAGTGTACCAGCTCAGGGTCAGAGTTCACCGCTGGACACGTAGTGTAGTGTACCGGCTCAGGGTCAGAGTTCACCGCTGGACACGTAGTGTAGTGTACCAGCTCAGGGTCAGAGTTCACCGCTGGAAGTGTAGTGTAGTGTACCAGCTCAGGGTCAGAGTTCACAGATGAACGTGTAGTGTAGTGTAGTGTACCAGCTCAGGGTCAGAGTTCACAGATGAACGTGTAGTGTAGTGTACCAGCTCAGGGTCAGAGTTCACCGCTGGACACGTAGTGTAGTGTACCAGCTCAGGGTCAGAGTTCACCGCTGGAAGTGTAGTGTAGTGTACCAGCTCAGGGTCAGAGTTCACAGATGAACGTGTAGTGTAGTGTACCGGCTCAGGGTCAGAGTTCACCGCTGGACACGTGTAGTGTAGTGTACCAGCTCAGGGTCAGAGTTCACCGCTGGAAGTGTAGTGTAGTGTACCAGCTCAGGGTCAGAGTTCACTGCTGGAAGTGTAGTGTAGTGTACCAGCTCAGGGTCAGAGTTCACCGCTGGACGTGTAGTGTACAAGCTCAGGGTCAGAGTTCACCGCTGGACATGTAGTGTAGTGTACCAGCTCAGGGTCAGAGTTCACCGCTGGACATGTAGTGTAGTGTACCAGCTCAGGGTCAGAGTTCACCGCTGGAAGTGTAGTGTAGTTACAGCTCAGGGTCAGAGTACTGGACTAGTGTTATAGTAGTTTATATACCTGGTAGTAGTACCAGCTCAGGGTCAGAGTTCACCGCTGGACGTGTAGTGTACAAGCTCAGGGTCAGAGTTCACCGCTGGACATGTAGTGTAGTGTACCAGCTCAGGGTCAGAGTTCACTGCTGGACATGTAGTGTAGTGTACCAGCTCAGGGTCAGAGTTCACCGCTGGACGTGTAGTGTACAAGCTCAGGGTCAGAGTTCACCGCTGGAAGTGTAGTGTACCAGGACGCTGTAGTTCCCTTCATAGGGAGCTTATCTATGGACATGAGAGATCTTTTTGTGCTCCATCTTTTGAAATTGAGCTCTCATAGAGATTAAGAAAGAAAAAACAAGGTGTTGCTAAGGACTTGTGACTAACACTCACTTTAAATGTTTGTATTTACATTCTGTACAGATGACTCTTGTATTGTTATAGAATAAATACACCATGTAATCTTTGTTGTTTCCGGCTCGTGTAGAACATAAGATGCTGGCCCTCGGGCCGACAGAGCCGTGGTCCATCCGGGAGAAGCTGTGTCTGGCGTCCTCGGTGATGAGGAGCGGAGATCAGAACTGGTGAGGAAGACATCACGACCAAAATGAAGCATTACTTTGAAAATGAAGCAGTTCAGTGTTTTTACACCATTAAGAGCACAATTCTTAACTATAGAAATTTTTTAAAATGCTCGTTTAAAATCCTTCTACTCGTTTAGAAGCACCATACGAGCATCAGCGTGGTCAATGCCTTCGAATAAATTCATTTTAGTGTAACTGTGTATGTTTTCTTTTTTTTCACTGTTTTAGATTTACCTATGTTCGCTGTAGGTGTACACGATTAGCCTTTCGCTTTGGCATTTTTAGTTAAATAAGTTTATCAACAACATTTACGCTTGGATCATCTTCATCGTAATCACGTCGTGATGTCATGACGTCATCAACGTTCCAGGTCAAAAAATTATAAGTAAGGAATCATAGCAGAATAATGCCTGTACACCGGCCTTACGGGGATAACGTTTATACTGTAAATCCGCTATATCTGCCTTACGGGGATTTGGCATAGACGTCCAAGCGGTATATCGTCCTTACGGGAATAGATCAAAGACGGACAAGCCGGTTTTTCGGCCTTACGGGATAAAAGGGTTAAACAGATTTAAGTCTGATTATGTAATCATCTGATTATCCGACATTTCAGAGGTCTGAGATGCGCTTTAGGTAAATTTGTTCAAACCAGATTTCACAACGGAAACTCCACAAGGCAGTACTGAAGTCACCGCCGTTCTTTTGTCTCGCAAGTTTTCGGTACCGTTTTTATTTCATTAATTTTTAAAATGAAATCCACAAACCGATTGTTACAAATATAAACTTCTGAATAAAACTTTACATAACTGTTTGTCCAATTATACAAGACCGTAAAGAACCCAATACACACACACACACACACACACAAGAATATATATTATTCAATTTAGGCCTGTAGTTTAATTGAATGTTGTTGCAGCTCTAATTGATTTAATTGTTTATTTATTTATGTATTTTAAAAATAAAGAAAAGAAATAAAGAATATGTTTGAATGACCTCTCTTGTTTAGTCCTTGAAAGTCATGGAATTTCATTACGAAGCACCTGTACGAGTCCTGATTCAGTTTCTAGAACTTTTCCAGTCAG